ACATTTGTCATTTATATTTTTACAAACTTAGGAATGACTCATAGAAACCAAGAGGAAACCTCTTTTCCTTGTTACCAGAGAATGTTCCTTAATATTTCCATCTTGCTTGAAAGATTTGGGTTTAAACTCCTCACAATCCATTTTCTACCCCATTAGTCCATGTACTAGGCCTATGGAATAATGGAGAAAAGAAAGTTGCCTGTAATATGTTGATCCTTGGTCATCCCTTGAGGCGCTATACAAATCTAAGCCATTTTCATTTACTTGCCTAGAAAGAACATTATGAATCCTGCAGAAAGTCTTAAAATGGCAGCTGCTATTCAGCCTGGCCTTTTGTTCAGTATTTTTTGGGCTCCTGAAAGGAGTGTCCCACTGCTCTAATTACAATAAATGGGTATATTTCATGTATTCTGTATTTCATGTGTTCTGTGGAATACTAGGAGGAGGAGGGAGCATAAAGGAAGCCAAATATTTTATAAATGTAAAGTGAAAATGTCTCTATAGCTACAAAGGAGAGAAATTAGTAGGATTGAAAAACTACTATCTGCAAAGAAACCCATGTTTTTTTTCCTCAACATTCTAAAATATATTTTGAAACATTTTAAGGAAATCACTGCATTGGACAAGAAGATGCAGATAACACAATACTGGGTGTTCAAAATGGAAATTGTGGAGCTGATGTATCCCAGAAACTTCCCTTCTTGCCTGCCAGGTGCCATGCCCCACCTGATTTCATTTTGGGCTATTTTTATTACTTTAATTAGAAAAATAAAATAAAAATCCTCCATGTTTTGAAATCAAGCTCCAACCGTGAGGATAATCCTTATGTCTAAGAATGTTTCTGTGCCCCTGTATCTATCTCTAAGGCAGTCTTCGAAACTAAAACAATATGGGGCTACCACCACTGCTTTCTTTGGAATTATGCCCATCTGCCCAGAAGAAAAGGAAATAAACTGAGATGATAGACAAGATGGCCAGAAAGGTGCCTTGTTTGTTTGCCTTTCATAAATGAGTAGGCATTTGTATTTGTATTTAATCACACCAAATGGTAGCTCTTTGCTCAGTGTACCTATAACATGTGCATATGCCTATAATTTGCTTGCTCAAAAAAGGTTGGGGTTCCCTGTTGTAGAATTTAGCCTGGATATAGTGACATGGCAAATCATGGCTTTTATATTGTTCTTTAATCAATTTTTCTACCTTGATGAAATCCTCCAATTCAGGATGGAAATCATTTTTTTAAAAAACATCTTATTTTATGCTGATTCTGCAAATTGTAATCCTCAAATATCCAGTATTCTGGTTCAAATTTGAATTCAGTGAGATTTCTTCCTGAATAAATGGACTGAAGATAATTCACAATTTTAAATCGTGGTAATTATTTGGCTTACTGATTAATTAGCTTATCTTGCCAAAATAATCAAATTATTTTGCCAAGTAATCTATGTGTTTCTTCTGGCATATTCAGACTGATTAATTTGCTTAGCATAGCTCACCTTATAGTTAGACAGAGGAGGTAGTGATAGCTGCCTTTGATACTATCATTATATAGTGTCTGTAATTTTTAGACCCAGTTTGGTATAATGGTTAATGCACCAAGCTAGACACTGAAGGACTGAGTTCCAGTCCTGCCTGAGGCATGAAGTCAGCTGGGTGACCATGGGACAGTCACTCTCTCAGCCTTAGGAAGCAGGCAAGAGCAAACCAAATCTGAAATCTTGCCAAGGAAACTGGAGGGATTACTTATCAGTGCTGACTCAGGCATAAAAAAGTATTTTTATCTTCAACATAGAACAGCGGTTAGATCTTTGGAACAAAAAACTTTTGATACATTTCCATGACTAAAGCGTAACCCTTCAGACAGTAAAATATTTTGGGCTGCTTGCTCCTGCTGCTCATTATTGTAACAAGTACACCAGTATTAGTTCCTTTTGGAACTAATATACTATATTTTATATATATATAAAATATATATATATATATATATATACACATACAGTCAGGTCCAGAAATATTGGGACATCGACACAATTCTAACATCTTTGGCTCTATACACCACCACAATGGAGTTGGAATGAAACAAACACAATGTGCGTTAACTGCAGACTGTCATCTTTAATTTGAGGGTATGTACATCCAACTCAGGTGAACGGTGTAAGACTTACAGCAGTTTGTATATGTGCCTCCCACTTGTTAAGGGACCAAAAGTAATGGGACAATTGGCTTCTCAGCTGTTCCATGGCCATGTGTGTGATATTCCCTCATTACCCCAATTACAATGTGCAGATAAAAGGCCCAGAGTTCATTTCAAGTGTGCTATTTGCATTTGGAATCTGTTGCTGTCAACTCTCAAGATAAGATCCAAAGAGCTGTCACTATCAGTGAAGCAAGCCATCATTAGGCTGAAAAAACAAAACAAACCCATCAGAGAGATAGCAAGAACATTAGGCGTGGCCAAAACAACTGTTTGAAACATTCTCAAAAAGAAGGAATGCACCGGTGAGCTCAGCAACACCAAAAGACCCGGGAGACCACAGAAAACAAGTGTGGTGGATGACCGAAGAATTCTTTCCCTGGTGAAGAAAACACCCTTCACAACAGTTGGCCAGAACAAGAACACTCTCCAGGAGGTAGGTGTATGTGTGTCAAAGTCAACAATCAAGAGAAGACTTCACCAGAGTGAATACAGAGGGTTCACCACAAGATGTAAACCATTGGTGAGCCTCAAAAACAGGAAGGCCAGATTAGAGTTTGCCAAACAACATCTAACAAAGCCTTCACAGTTCTGGAACAAGATCCTATGGACAGATGAGACCAAGATCAACTTGTACCAGAGTGATGGGAAGAGAAGAGTATGGAGAAGGAAAGGAACTGCTCATGATCCTAAGCATACCACCTCATCAGTGAAGCATGGTGGTGGCAGTGTCATGGCGTGGGCATTTATGGCTGCCAATGGAACTGCTTCTCTTGTATTTATTGATGATGTGACTGCTGACAAAAGCAGCAGGATGAATTCTGAAGTGTTTCGGGCAATATTATCTGCTCACATTCAGCCAAATGCTGCAGAACTCATTGGACAGCGCTTCACAGTGCAGATGGACAATGACCCAAAGCATACTGCAAAAGCAACCAAAGAGTTTTTGAAGGGACAGAAGTGGAATGTTATGCAATGGCCAAGTCTATCACCTGACCTGAATCCCATTGAGCATGCATTTCACTTGCTGAAGAGAAAACTGAAGGGAAAATGCCCCAAGAACAAGCAAGAACTGAAGACAGTTGCAGTAGAGGCCTGACAGAGCATCACCAGGGATGAAACCCAGCGTCTGGTGATGTCTATGCGTTCCAGACTTCAGGCTATGATTGACTGCAAAGGATTTGCAAGCAAGTATTAAGAAGGGAAAGTTTGATTTATGATTATTATTCTGTCCCATTACTTTTGGTCCCTTAACAAGTGGGAGGCACATATGCAAACTGCTGTAAGTCCTACACTGTTCACCTGAGTTGGATGTACATACCCTTAAATTAAAGCTGACAGTCTGCAGTTAAAGCACATTGTATTTGTTTCATTCCAACTCCATTGTGGTGGTGTATAGAGCCAAAGATGTTAGAATTGTGTCGATGTCCCAATATTTCTGGACCTGACTTTGTGTGTGTGTGTGTGTGTGTCTGTGTCTGTGTGTCTGTGTGTCTGTGTGTCTGTGTGTCTGTGTGTCTGTGTGTGTGTATATATATTGTAACTATATAATATAACTAATATGCTATCCTTTGGACTCCCCTCTTCACTTTTTTCTTTACAATATTGTACAATTTCTAACATCGTCATAATAGCAAAGAGGCTTAGATTCAGAGATGTCTTTGGCTTGCACAAAGCAGCCTCATTCTATTTTGTTGCAGCCCCCTTTGCTCCTTTATCTTCCTGCTAAAGATGTGTCATCGCCCCAGTAGGATTTTATGTGTTTGTTGTGAAATCTAACTTATTATTGGTGTTCTTTTCTGTAATATTATACTGTGTGCATATGCATGCTGTGCAGGCATTTTGGAAATGATGGCTAAATGAAGTAGAACTAGTAATTACCAAAAAAAAACCCATTCAGAATGCCAATAGAAAGAGTCTATCTTTTTACTGTAGGGTAAAATTTAGATGAAACCTTTTTTATCATTGGCATGGGAAAAATCTAATATATTTGCTTTGGCCTGGAGAAAAGAAAGAAAGAAAGAAAGAAAGAAAGAAAGAAAGAAAGAAAGAAAGAAAGAAAGAAAGAAAGAAAGAAAGAAAGAAAGAAAGAAAGAATGAGGAAAGAAGAAAGAAAGAAAGAAAGAAAGAAAGAAAGAAAGAAAGAAAGAAAGAAAAGAGGGAGAATAGGTGCCATTAAAAGATAAGAGTCTCCTTTAAATTAAGCTTGGCTCATGCTTTCTTCATAGAGTTTCTCCAAGTATAATTTTTGAGCTTCTCAATCCTGAAATTTTCTGGTGATCTCCCATCTAAATGCTAACCAAATCCGACCTTGCTTAGCATTTGCTCAGCCAACATTGCATAATTGGGGAGTTTTCCCCTTAGAGAATGAGAGATGCTTATACTCACAATAGATGGCCTGTGATATTAGACAGTATTTTCTCTCCTTTTATAATACGCTAAATAACTAGCTTCCTTAAGCCTGCTGGTTGTAGATTAGAAGAATGTGATGTATCTTAGTTCCTCCCAGGTTTTCACTGGAATTTAATATAATGTGACTGATGATAAGCCACAATCCTCTATTGGACATGTTAATTGATTAAAAATAAAAGGTAGTCTTGTTTTGAGCCACACTAGATCTCATGTTGCATCAATGTCATATTGAGTGATCATCTTCTCTGATTGTGCATATGGTATAGTTGCAAGGGTAAAACAAAGCCAAACTTTCTTTTAAAAAGTATTAATGCTGTCATTAATATGATTACATGGTAATAAATGGTAATTTATTCATTGATGCAGATACTGTACCATATATATTTGTCCACAGGCCATGTGACTGACTGTCAGCGTATTTTCTACTCATCAGTTAATCATATCTACTTATACCAGTCAAGCATTCATCAAAGAAGATATCTTTTTTGCCACAGACAGAAAAATGCTTATAAGGTAGTTTGGCCCGCTGATGTTTCTCCTCCTCATCCAGTTCCTAAGGTACTATCATTTCTGTTGTTCTATTGCTTCTTTCAGTAGCCAATATAGAGATTTATTAGATGAATAATCAAGTATATCCCAAGAAGTAGCAGTTTGAATCATGATTTTGTTATCAGGGCTGGGATTTGATACCAGAACTTTGGTGCACAAAGTAATGCTATAGTAAAGAGAGCATTCAGTCAATTTCTCAGCCTGTTTCAATTTGATACTCCTGCTGCTGCTATGTCCCAATCTTTTGGTTAGCCTCTTGTTTTAAAAAAATGATGAAATTGGTTATAAATCATGTAAATGGGAATTGGCCATACATCACCAATTCTTTTTATATCCATTTTAAAATGAGGAAATCCAAAAACAGTTCTCTCCATCGTAAGATTTATTGAGTAGCATGCTGCCAGCTAATAATGTTCCTATCAAAAAGTTGTTCAGTTTTCATGATATGTATCTTAACAAACTATTATTATACTGCTTATAACATGCAGGAAGATAGAGGAGCAAAGGCCGCATAGTATGTTTCAAAAAACTGATATATTTCATTGTTTAATTCTTGATTCAGACAGATTCTTAGAAAATGCTGTTGTTTTTGTTTCATGTTCGTTAACAATTTTTGAAATGTGATGGCTTTTATCATTGAAATTACTTTGTGATTTGTAAACTATTACTTTCAAAATATTGGAAATATTCTTGTGTGTATTTGTGCGTGTATCCTGTTGTAAACTTCTTTGAGTGGAATTGGATTCCTGAAGGCAACATGGATAGGTTCTTATTGTTTTCTTTGCAGTAAGCTGATGAAAGTGATCTGTCACTGTCATCTTTTCATTTATTTGAACAATCTGTGGGACTAGTCTAAAGCCTGGGATGTTGGATTTTTTTTCAGCTTTGGGGGAGTTGTGAGATTGGGAATGACTTGCCTCTCAGAGGATTCTGTTACTGCTGAACTAGAAGGGTGAAGAAAAGTCTCCTGCCTGCCTAGGCATTGAATGCTATGGTGCCATTATGGTATGGGTATTACACCTAGCCTAGGTTGGATAGGGTAGAGATGATCCACTCAGCCAGCCACAGAAGCTCCTAATGGTTTGGGGCATTGTTCACTATCTTAAGCTCCTGAGGAAAAGGAAGGATAGAAATCTAACTCACAAATAAATGAATAAAATACGGGCCAGTCTAATATCTTTCATGTAAGAAACCTATCAGATCAGGCGGAGCGCATACACACACACACACACACACACACATGGAGAGAGAGAGACATGAAGACACATATCCATATCCATATACACAGACCTATACACACACTTTATGTTATACATGTGCAAGAGTATAGTAAGTTGAGTAACTGCTACATTGGTAATTCTTTTCAACAGAGTCCGAGTTCTTATTCACTTTTATGGGATTCAGGATTCAGGCTTTCCCCTTTTCATTCATATATCAGTTGAGAACTCTGCGAAGTTACCTGGCTTGTTTTGAAAACGTGAATTTTTCTTTTCTTTTCTTTTCTTTTTTTAAGGCAAACTAGAAGTGAGAGTGCCGTTAGGAACCTTTGGTCTGAGCAAAAAGCTGCTGTGATACCTAGAATTTCAGTGCTGTAGGGCTAACAGGCTCTGCAAGTGACAAACACTGTGAAGTTCAAAAGGGCAGTGAGACAGATACTGGGGCAGGCTTCAGGGTTTGCCCTGATGGCTTAGGAAGGTCACTCAGACAAGGGTTGAGGGTGGGGAGGGCTCTATCTGAGAAAATGATCCCATTGTCATGCTCCATGTTCCGATCTTCATTTTTGTTCCTTGATTTCCAAGCATATAAAGCAGCCAGACTATGTGACGACAGGCGCTCTGCCTGACATGGGAGATGAAATAGACCTTAAGAATGAAGATCAGATTCAACGGCTTCGTCAGGCTTGTCAGCTGGCCCGTCATGTCCTGCGTCTGGCTATGAGGAGTGTAAAGGTAACGCAAGCTTGGCAGCTCCTGGCTTTGCTTTTTGAAATTTCATAACATTTCCTTTTACATATATACATTTCATAGTTATTTATTGTACATCATAAGATCTGCAGACTGATCACAATAGAATTCCTACTTTTCACATATTCAGCAAACCAGCTTGATTATTCATAAGTTACCTTCCTTGATCCATCTCCCCTCCTCCCCCGCCCTCCCCGGTCTATATCCATACCAAACAATCAAAATCTAATCCCAATAGATGCCCTGAAAATTAAGCAGTTTCTTTTTTTGAGTATTTGCTTTATTTGGCTTGTATGTTTGGAATTTTTAAATTTCTGTCCTTCACACTGTGGAAGGCCAGAAGAAGACAACGATTTGTGCCTGTGAGAAATACAGAAATTCTGCCACCTTGACTATAGGAAAAAAAGGAGAATAAGAGCTTGTCTTTATAAACTGAACAATTAAAAGCACATTATTAAGTTCTGGATTTGCTCTACTCAAAGCTGAGTAGAGTTTATTGTGTATCCGAAGCTTTCTAAAATCCTTGTGGTTTAATAGTCAGGGTTTGGTGCCCCATTCTTTTGAATAAATGTATCAGCAATTTGTGTTACTTATCTCTGTGTGAAGGCAGATGAGCATTTCCATTGTTTGGTCACAGGCAGATTCTTGGTTCAAACTTGCTGATTTTCATCTGTATAGGTATTACATTGTTTGATTTGTACAGTACAAATAGTCCTCTATGCACGACCACAACTGAGCCTAAATTTCCTATTGCTAAGCAAGACAATTGTTAAGTGAGTTTTGCTCCATTTATGACCTTTCTTGCTAAAGTTATTAAGTGAATCACTGCAGTTGTGAAGTCAGTAACACGGTTGTTAAATGAATCTGGCTTCCCCATTGACTTTGCTTGTTAGAAGGTCACAAAAGGGGATCACATGCGCCCAGGACACTGAAAACTTCATAAATACATATCAGCTGCCAAGCAGTCAAATTTTGATCATGTGGCCATGGGGAATGCAATGCTGCAATGGTTATAAGTTTGAAAAATGGTCATATAGTCACTGTAACCGAATGGCCACTATACAAATTGTAAGTTGAGAATTACCTATACTGATTACCTAGACTGTTTTGGTAGATATTTTTCTGTCTTCCTCTTCCTCTAGACTAATTTTGGATTTGTAACTTGTTTGAAAAAGCATACCATGACACAATTTCTGTACTGTTTATTACATTAAATCTATTAAAAATGCAATCCTGGTGGGAGGAAAAAAATCACATTTTAAAACAACACACATTTTTAAAAAGTATGGTTACTTAGTGCATTTACATTCCACATTTTTCCCAGATTCCCAGGAGGTCTTCTCTCATTTTACCTACACAACAATCCTGTGTGGTAGGTTTGACTGAAAGGGAGGAACTAACTCAAATTCATCCAATGAGCTGAACCTGTCCAATGCTTAACTACTTTTCCACATATGTTGATAGTAATATTGTGGCAATAATTTAAAATCATGTATTTTAGCTCTTTTAAAGAAGATTGGGGGGCAGAGAAAGAAGCCCAACATGCTTCCTTCAGCACTACTGGCCAGATTAATATCTCATTATGCCTAAATTAAGGACACTCTTTCAAAATTATAAACTGACGAATGCACAACAGGGTATATAAATATATATATTCAGGGCCCAAAAGGCCACCTAACCACCAAATTTTGCAGCTCAGCTTTGCATGAAATGGACAAAAAATGGACAGAAAAAAGAACTTCTGTAGTGGGAAGAGGTTCTGCCTGTCTTAATCAAAAATCTGCAAAGTTCCATTCATACAGTCCAAGTGGCAAACATGATTGTGTTTGAGCTGTGCTCTCCTCAGCGTCTGCATTTCCTGCATCGGATGAGGAGAGCACATCTTTCTCCTTCTGTCCCTGCACAGTTACAGAGGCACGGTTGAGAACATTTTAACAAACTGCATCACTGTTTGGTTTGATGGCTCCAGTACCTAAGATAGAAAGACCATACAGAGAGTGGTAAGGACAGCAGAGAAGATTATAGGAAGCTCGCTTTGTGTCATTCAGGATACTGCTTATAAGTGCTATGTGTTTAGAGCTCAAAGCATTGTTAGAGACCCCACACACCCACTTCACGGTCTGTTTCTGTTGCTCCCCTCTGGAGAGGAGGTTTTGAAGTATTTCTAGCAGGACTTCTGTAACAGCTTTGTTTCCTATACCATCCATCTGGTAAACTCATAAGATTCGTTTTTCTTGCCATGTACATGTATACATCCGAACTAGACTGTGTTGTTTCTCTGTGTCATATAATATATGTGGGTATATGCATAATTTTGTATTTATTTATTCTATCATGGTTATGTAGTGTATATTAGAGGTGGAGATCCTTTCAGAACTGTATGCAACAAAATTTGCTTTTGATGTATGTTGATTAGTGCACATTCAAAGTTATTCTATTCTATTCTATTCTATTCTATTCTATTCTATTCTATTCTATTCTTTGCTGACCTATCCTTTAGGCATAAAGTATTATCAACAAATTAACTGAGACCATCTAGCCAGAGAAGGGGGCAGAGATGGAAAACAGAAATGGAGTGCAGTGTAGAAAGAAGATGAATTAGAATGAGCCGCATGAGCCTGTCAAGATGTAAATGTAACCTAAAGAAGTTTCTAGTGAAGATGAAAGGAAAATAAGAGCTAGAATAGAGAACAAAAAAAGAATCAGATGGCTGAAATCACAAGCACTTGAATATGTCAAGCAGCTGGATTAAGGACCAAAACAAAAGGTACAAGATAAGAATAATGAAGCCCTAGAAGAATACTGCAGTAATGAAGGTGAGGCTTCATAAGGTTTTAGCAATGTCGCAAGGTAAGGACCAATTTTTCCAATGTTCCAAAGATGAAAACAAAAAGTTTGAATGAGAGACTGGCTGGATAGAAAAATTAAGATGAGAATTGAATGTTACATAGAGATTATTGACTTGAATAGGCGAAGAATTAATCATTTTAAGAATGAAAGAATGGTAAAGTTAGATGGAAAAAGCAAAAAAAAATAAAAATAAAAAATAAAAATAAAATTAGTGATGTTCAGATACTGTGATAAACATCTTCAGAAAAAAACAAAAAACAAGGCCAAACTTACAAAGGAAATTAAAAGATTGTTAAAATCAAAAGAGGAAGGAAAAATGGAAGCAATATAGAAAAGTAAGAAGAGTCAAGAATCTGAGTTCAACTAAGGGAAAGAAATATATGAAGTGGGTAATGGACAATTATAAACTGATATTTTAAAATGTGTATTTTAAAACCAACAAACATAGATAAAAATCAAAGAATTCAAACAAGAGGAATAAAAAAGAAAGAGAAAAATTGCAGCCACAAGACATAGAAAGCTTTGCATAGAAACATTGATGTGGCAGATGTCATTCCATCAGCAGATGTGTGCCATAGACACAATCCTACACCTTTTCAATTTTGCCTGCCCTTGGAAACTACACAAGGTTAAGTGCTTGGTTGGAAGACCATCAGGGAATTCTAGACTAATCTAGAAGAGAAATTTTTAAAAAAGAATATCTCAGAAGAAGGCAAGGACAAGCCCCCTTATATATATATAAATCCATTGGTAGCCAGACATAGAGCTTGACTCAGTGATGTCTTTATTTTTTATTTAAATGGTATGAAATCAAAGAACAGCCCACATGATGTTAAAAACATTTAAGAAGTGGAAAGAAGAACAGCTAAAAAGTAGGACCTTATTACAGAAGGGATAAACAATTTTGAATGAGTAGAGTATTAACATAAGGTCAACTTAGAAGACTGTGGAAAGGAAAGGCTTTGTTAAATGACAGTTCAGACAACCCAAAGAAGAGAAAGGAGGTGTGTGTTTATATAATACGATAGAATAAAGAACAGATGAAAAGGTACTTGAAATAGGGATGAGGAATGGGAACAACAATAAAATAATAATGGATGTTTCATTCTGCTGATTCCTGTTCAATATTACATTTCACCCTTCATGCTTTTTAAAAGATAATGAATAAGCGGTAAGGTATTCAAACAGACTGATTTGTATCCCTTGTTTCCCACTTTTCTTTTCCATCATTTCATACCTCCACTTCTTGGTAAGGTTGTATACTGAAGAGGAGACTTTGATGGTTCTTGAAAAATATGCTCTGTACTTCTGCAGACTTCAGGGTTTCCTCAAGCATGCCGAGATCCCCCTCTGGTTTCTCTGCAAACTAATTTTGCCTCCATTTTTCTTGGCAGTAAGTTTTGTATTAGAGAGAATGGTATCCAGCAAGAACTGCATGAAATAATACAAAACGGGATAAAGAGGGAAAAAAGGAACACTAAAAAGAGAACAATTTAACCCTTTCCCCATACTTCATTTTCTCTAAAAAGCTGCTCCAATCGAACTGTTACTTGACCTATCAGTACAAGGATTTTGCTAGTTAGGAAGAACTTTTTTTTAATGATGGCTTTAAAACCAACTGATAAATTTATAACCTACCGTATTTTTCAGAGTATAAGACACACTCTTTTCCCTCCTAAAAGAGGCTGAAAATTTGGGTGCGTCTTATACTCTGAATGTAGCTTTTTCAAAGCTTTTTTTCAGATCTAACAAGGCGCTAGTGAGTGAAGCAATCTATGCTTTGCCTGCTCCCTCCAACTCTCAGCTGTGAAGCTTTTTTCAGCCCTAAAGAGGCGCTACACTCAGCTGTGAAGTTTTTTTCAGCCCTAACGAGGCACTAGCGAGTGAAGCGATCTCCGTGGTTTGCCTGCTTTTCTCATTGCTTCTCTCTCCAAAGATCAGTTGTGTTTTAGAAGCTGTTTTTTATCCCCAAGCAGGGGATAAAAAACAGCAAACTAATGTGCTGAAGCTGACCAGAATAAGGACACTAGCCAGATGAATATCTGGTAGACAGATTTTTCCACCCTATTTTCCTCCCCAAAAACTAAGCTGCGTCTTATACTCTGGTGCGTCTTATACTCCGAAAAATACGGTAAGCAGTTTCTTCAAAGTTTGTGTAGGGCTCATTGATTTTTAAAATACAGGATACTGTACATTGAGAATTGAAAACTCATTCCTTTTAAGATCATATTTGAGTCACTACTAGACACTGGAACTGACCTCTCTTCTTCAGAATCCAAACCTGAAATATTCATATTATATCTTGCTGAGTTTTCTATGTCAAACTGCTGTTGAATCAAATATTATTTAATATTTAATCTAGTGCAGCCAAAGTTTTGATGCAAAAGCCAGAGGATTCTGTATGAAAAAAAATCACAACAAAAGCAGTCGGTGAAAGTCAACTCATGTTACTTTAGCTTCTTTAAAATGAAATATACACATTTGCTAATATTGCATTGAACAAATAATGCAATATTAAACTGAATTTAGGATTCCATATATTACACTGGTTCCAGAGTAAATATATTTAATATGAAAGATTTAGGAGAATGTAATTTCTGTTCATAAATCTTTGATTCTAAAATAGTCTGCTTTTAATAAAACAAAGAATTCAATTTGCAACAGAACTGCTAAGGTCCAAAGATTTAATCTATACTATACATATCTTATCACCAAAGGTAGTAAATGAATACTTTCCTTTTGTTTTGCTGTTGCAATTTCCATACAAAATCCATTGAGAAGTATTTCATTCTACTGCCTTAGCTGTTTAAAAAGAAATCACTTCGATTATTTAAACTTGAATTTATTTAAAACTGAATGTAATTTTTCTTTGTAAAATATGCAAGAGGTATCTTCGTAGGGGTGAAATGCTCCCGGTTCGGACCGGCTCGGGCAAGTAGGTAGCGATGGTGGCGGGCAGTTCGGAGAACCGGTAGCAAAAATCCCTGCCCCCGTCCCCTATACCCAGCTGAGCCGGGCGATCATCAGAGGCTTTTTTTCTTTTAAATGCTCTGACGATCCAAGCTCTGACGATCCCAGCTGAGTTGCCTTTCGAGCAGGCAGCTCAGCTTGGATCGTCAGAGCCATTTAAAAGAAAAAAAGTTTTTTCTTTTAAATGGCTCTGACGATCCCAGCTCTGATGATCCCAGCTGAGTTGCTTGCTGATTACATGGTTTTACATGTAAAAAATGGTTTTAAAAGTTAAAAAAAATTGGCCATGCCCACCCAGTCACATTACCCCCCCACTAAGCCACGGCCACAGAACCGGTAATAACAAATTTTAGATTTCATCACTGTATCTTTGTTTATAACAGAAAGTGAGTTTGTGTGTACGTGTTTGTTTCCTACGTAGACCAAGAGAAAGGGGAAAATGTATAAGACAAAGGAAAGAAAGAAAGGAAAAGGTGGGATACAGAATTTGACCATGACCATGGGTTAAAATGGAGGAAAAATAATAATGGCAGACTGAAAAATATGAATCATAATTTTAAAGGTACCTGGACTATAACTTAAAGAAGGGATCGCATCCCTCCTATTTCATCTGCAAAAACAGTTTCCACAGTGAACAAGTATGCCATTGGATTCCATTCTAAATCCTGAATGTTAAGGAGCATGTTAATGGAAGATATATGTTGATCAACGGTATTTTAGAAGATAGGATGATTTCTTTGATATGTATTTATCTATCAAGAAACCCAAATAATTTAATGTAATTGTTGAATCTGATAAAAGAGAAATCATGATGGTAAGTGACTTTTAACTGAATATGTTATGCTGCTAAAGACAGTAAATATATTTCCCAATTTTTAAAAAAAAAATGTTTGGAAAAGTTCCACTTCATTGAATTACTATGTTTCTATTTCTCTCAGATTGTACATCATACTTACACAGAATATATTTGCTTCTGGTAGCTCCTACAGTCTAAAATGATTTTATGACAATATATGAGATTTATTCTAGCATTAGGAAAGTTGGAAAAAAACTCATGTATTATCATACTATACCTCCTTAATTTCGTGACTCAAAATCCACGATTCAGCCTGCATACAAAAAGTTAAATATTGAGAGATTTTTTTTATCAACATGTGATATCATATAAGTTGATCAACATGCAATCCTGTGTGTGTGTGTGTGTATATATATATATTATATATATATATATATATATAATATATATATATATATATATATATATATATATATATATATATATATAGTCATTTCTTTTGACTAAAAGAAACAATATCAATTAAAACCGTGGTGGCACAGTGATTAAAATGTAGTATTGCAGGCTAACTCACTGCTCACTCCAGGAGTTCGATTCTGAATGGCTTTAAAGTTGACTCAGCTTTCCCTCCTTCCGAGGTCGGTAAAATGAGGACCCAGATTGTTGGGGGCAATATGCTGACTCTGTAAACCACCTACAGAGGGCTGTAAAGCACTATGAAGTGGTATATAAGTCTAAATGCTATTACTATTATGTATCAGTTCTTTCCTTTAAAAAATGGCACCAAAGGATTCCTTATATTTCCCATTCCATGGTTGGAGACAAGTCTTCAAACTCAAAGGAAAAAATCAGGCCTTGGATATGCTTCTACAACTGGGTTCTGCCAAAATCAGATAATCTCTGATTATCCTGAAACCCTGAAACGGGGTTGGGTTGGCAACAGGAACTTCAATCTGAAAGATTCCTAAAGTATCCCACCTACAATAAAATATCCCTGCTGGGGATATTTAGGAGAGTAGGGATATTTAAAGGAATTTTCAGTTTGATCTATACTTTTCCATCCCATTCCTCACAGTGAGAAGCAAGTGGAAAAAGAGATCTCCTCCAAGAAGAGAGTAATACCATTTTATATCTACTTTGCCAGTTTGCACCTATCACTGGATTTTTCAGAATAGTCCAACTTTTAGAATTTCTTTTAATTATGCAGATCATCTGTGCTGGAAAACCCCATGGCTTTTCTTACTAAATCTTTTTGATAGACCTTTTTGATGTTTATCATATTTATCACTCAGTGGTGGGATTCAAATAATTTAACAACCTGTTCGCCCAGGATCAGGACGATTGGGATGGGAGGCATGGCCCATCGCGGTCCTCCAGCTCCGTCGCACATGTGAGACGAGCCTCCCGTGGCTGCCAACTTAATCCTGGGCAAACTGGTGGTTAAATTACCACCACCCCCACTATCAAAGTGGATCCCGGACACTGTGCTGCTCTGCAGTGGAGAAACAGGCAACAGAGCCACCTGCACAAGGGAAGGAGGAGGAGCAGGGAGAAGAAAGAGAGAAAGTGGCCTTCTCCTTCTCTCGTGCTGGCCGCTCCATTGCCCATTTCTCTATTGCAGCAAAGTGCAGCGCCCACTAGCCATTTTGATAGCAGGGGTGGGTAATTAATAACCGGTTCGCTGGAACTGATGCGAACCGGCTGAATCCCACCACTGACTAAACTGTTATTTAATTGTGCAAGGTCATTACAATATTGCTAATGTTATTTCCAGTCCTTTTCCTAATGTTCTCTAGTGTGGAATCTACCTTTTTTTCATAACTGCTGCAGCTTAAATTCAAATTTTCATTACCCTGTCCACTACGACCCTAATATTTTGTTTTTGATTAGTTATATGCAACTCAGACCACCATCAGTTTATATGTAAAGTTAGGACGGCTTGCCCCTGCATGTATTATTTTATATACATATTTAAACTGAACCACGTTTACCTCAATGTCGATTCACCAATTTGAAGAGAGCTCTTTGTGGTTGCTTTTGTTTTTTACCACCCTGAATAGTTCGTTATAATTTGCAAACTGGTCTTCCTCATGACTTCCTCTCCAGTCAAAATCATTTCTGAACAAATTAAGAAGCACAGCTCCCAATACAGTTACTGAGGCATTCTTCTTTTTATTTTTTTCTGTGAGAAAATTGGCCATCTACTACAATTTTTTTGTTTTCCGCTTTTAGCCAATTGGCAGTCCATAAAAGGGCAGATCCTTTTATTGTATGATTGCTAAGTTTACTCAAAAACTTAGTTCCTAGTTTTATTCAAACTTTTGGTGGCGATATTTATTTATTATTTATGCGATTTATATGCCGCCATTCTCCTGAAGGACTCAGGGTAGCTTACAACAACAATCAATAATACAAATCACAAAATAACAAAATAAGTTAAAAACCCCTTAAAAACTATATTTAAAATTATTACAGTTTGCGCAACCCCTAGCAGATCAGGTTATTTGACGGAAGAGCCACGTCTTCAGTTCGTGGCGAAAGGAGAGGAGGTCCGGGGCTATCCTGAGCTCGGTGGGCAAATCATTCCAGAGGGTCGGCGTTCTGACGGAGAATGCTCTCCCCCTGGGGGCCGCCAGTCAACATTGTTTGGCCGACGGCACCCTGA